GTCTATGCAGATTCACATTTGAGGATTGTTTTTCCACTCCCCCCCCTTTTTTGCACATGTGCTGAAGCATTGCAGTGTTGCAGCAGCTTCAAGGAGACCTCACGATTGCACTTCAAGAAGCTCTGGATTCCCCCTTGGAGTGGGCTTCCTCCCCCCCCCCCGTGTCTCCTTCCCCCCCCCGCGCCTTTGAAGTTATTCCGCCCCCTTCCTGGCCTGTTGGTATTTATGAAAATGGGCTGTATTGAAAGCCCTTCATCCTGGGAGCTCTAAATTCTGCATAAATGATGAAAATGGCTCTGAGGGGTTTTTGGCTCATGAACTGTGAGGATCTGTGAAATTAATATCAAGTTTCTGTGAAAATGAACTGAGCCATCTAGGCAGGCATGCCTTTTAATCTGACCCTACACCTCCAAACCATCTGTGCTATATATCCTCCGTCAGGTTAACCAGATCTTGCCAAGAAAGATCTGAGTGTGCTTGATACGAAGAGTGTGCTCAAAATTCTAAAATGTATTTGAAAATGGCACCCAGGGACATGCTAGAATTTGCTGTTGAGTTTGAATGAAAGAATGGTAAGGAGGGCAATGATTGGCTGCTGGTGTTGGGCTTCCCAATGGGAGTGACCGTTTATTTCAGCACAGGCACCCTCCAGTGCTGAAACATTTTGGCACTGGCATGCAAATTAGAAAAAAAATGCTTTTTCTGGGCAAGCCTTGCGGCAGAGAGAAAAATTCAGATTCTTGGGAGGAGGCTATCTTGTGAATTCATTTTGCAATGGGGGGAAATGATGGTAAAAACTAGTTTTAAAAAGAACAAGGAGAAATGAGGAAATACCTGAAGATTTGGGGGGTGGGGCCTGGGGAGGGCAGGGTTTGGGGAGGGGCGGGGAGAGATCTCAGCAGGGCATAGGTTCACACACACCCCACACACCCAAAGCAGCCATTTTCTCCAGGGGAACTGATCTTGGTCATCTGGAAATCAAAATAGTAGGAGATCTCCAGGTACCACCTGAAGGTTGGTGACCCTACATGACAGGAAGTAATAACTGATGTAAGTTTTATGCTTGATTGTTTATATGCTACTGCCCCTTTAAGTCTGAGCCATGAGCATTCTGGAAAAATTAATTTTTAAAATTATATTTACACTACTTTAAACAGATCATTTTTTGTACAGAACAATCTAAACTAAATATCTTGAAGCAAAGAGGGGAAGTATTAACTGCAGCACTTGAGAATAATTGTACTTCAAAATAAGCTTCTTACCAAGCAGTTCCTTAGACCCAAATCTCCAATATGGCTTGAATCTCCTGGAATTCACACCAAGCAGTAATTACAGGAGATTGTAGAGATTATTGAGCAGATCAAGTCAAGTCAAGTCAAGCAGCAAAGATCCAATTACAGCTCTGGCTTTTATAAAATTTCATATTTAATATTTGTCTCAGCAAGTAGATCTGAGAGTTGGTAATGAAATATAAAAACAAATTATATAAACACAGATTAAAATAATAAATTTTATAACATCTATCAGAGATCGTGGCTGGGTCCTCCTGGGTTATTGCTCCTGGTTCCCTCCTTGGAACCCCTGAACAACACCCCAGACCTGTGGCTCCTTAAGGTTAGGTGCACACGAGAAAACCAAACCTTGTAAAAATGTATAAAGGTTTAAATAATTAAACACATTTACTATGCAGTCAATCGCTATAGCTTAGCAACAGGAAAATAAAGAAGCTAACTTTTCTATCTAATATATTGAGTACCTTGGTATTAGATGGCAAATGTCTTGCAGCATAAAATCTAAGCAGTAGCATAAAGCGTTGTATACACTGCAGTCCATCATGATGAAGCATAACGTATCTAAGCATACTGGCACGGTGTTAGTATAACTCTTTGTATGATATAAGGTGGTCTCTCAGGTCCAATCAGAACTCTTTTTCTCAGGAACTTTCCAGAGGATGTTGGCAACTGCTCCTAATTTCCCCCTCCCATTTGGTTATACAACTAAGCACAGGTTCTCACAATTGGGCCCAATTGCTACGTTCCTGTGTCTGGCCTTGAAAGAGATAAGGATGGTAGTTGCAGGAACACTGAAATCATGAATACCTGCAAGCAGAACTGGGCCTATTCACATACACACTTGAGGGAAATTAGGGTGCTTTGCCTCACAATATCCATCAAAATAGCAAGTTAATAATGCCCTCTTGATTGTCCAATGCCCAACAAGCATCCAGACAACATATAATATTTTAGAATTTATCCAAGAATTAGCAGATCTCAAAAGCTCTCTTAAAGATCTAATTTCTGCAGCCCATTCAAAATTCCGTCAGGGTGTAATATTCTGAGTCAGTTGTAGCTTCTGAATAGTCTTCAAGGACAGCCCCATGTAAAGTGTGTTACAATAGTCTAGTCTCGAGATTACTGTAGTATAGATCAGTGTGGCCATGTCAGGAATTCCTAAAATAAGGGGGAAGATATCAAGCTAAGTACAGCTGAAAAGATACGTTATTAGCTACCATGGTTCCCTGCTTTTCTAATAATTATGTGGGATCTAATGAAACCTCTAAGGTCTGAATGGTATAAGGATGCTGTATATGTCCAAACTGATTTTATTGTTTATTATTAACTGCTGTTGGAAGCTGCCTTGTGTACATTTTGTAGAGAGGCAAGTTGTGAATATTCCAAAAGCCCTTTGCTGGTTAGCAGATAGTGATTTAGTGGGTAGTGATTATTTTAATGGGGGGGGGAATAATTTACTTGATATGAACCTATCCAAGGCATTATAGGTGGTTTTTATCAAGAGTATTTTACGGTTGACATTTCTATCACAAGAAATGTGTTATTTTTCTCTTGTGTTCTTACTAACGTTTTCTAGCTTTTAATTGTACTTGATACCTTTTTAGTTCCTTCAAGAAGGTTCCAGTTTGGTGTAGTGGTTAAGCGCAGCAGACTCTAATCTGGAGAACTGTGTTTGATTCCCCACTCCTCCACATGCAGCAAGCTGGGTGACCTTGGGTCAGTCACAGTTCTTTCAGGGCTGTTCTCTCAAGAGCATAAGAATATAAGAACGTAAGAGAAGCCAATGTTGGATCAGGCCAATGGCCCATTCAGTCCAACACTCTGTCACACAGTGGCCAAAAATACCAGGTGCCATCAGGAGGTCCAGCAGTGGGGCCAGGACACTAGAAGCCCTCCCACTGTTGCTCCCCCCCCCCAAGCACCAAGAATACAGTGCATCACTTGCCCCAGACTGAGAGTTCCTATCTAAACCTTGTGGCTAATAGCCACTGATGGACCTCTGCTCCATATGTTTATCCAATTCCCTCTTGAAGCCGTCCATGGTGGTAGCCGCCACCACCTCCTGTGGCAGTGAATTCCATGTGTTAATCATTCTTTGGGCCTTTCTCTTAGAGCTCTCTCAGCCCCACTTACCTCACAGGGTGTCTGTTGTGGGGAGAGGAAGGGAAGGAGATTGTAAGATTATCTGAGATTCTGAGTGAAGGGCAGGGTATAACTCCAACTCTTCTTCCTTCTCCTCTTCGTCTTCAGCTGTGGTCACACTACAGGCTTGGCATGATCTGGCCACACCTCTAATTACACTGTTTTATTTTGTAATGGGAAGTTTTGATCCGACATCCCACCCTGAACCCGGCTTCACCTTGTGTTTGCCCCATGGTCGATCGTCCAGATTGTTGCAGCATCCTTTTACTTTCTTTCACCCATGCACATAAGTGTGTATCTGAAATCCCAGCTGCTTTTTGACAGTTCCATAATCCCTCTGCTAAGTACTCTGGTCCCTCTCAGCCTCCTTCTCTTCACCTCTCTTCCTTGGAATACATGGGAGGGTTAAGTACAGATTTACATGAGAGTAGTCCCATTGACTTCAGTGCATTTACCCTTGTGTTAATCATGGGATGCTTTCAAACATCAACTCTGACACAGGAGACAGGGGTTTATGAGGGATTTGTCGCTCAAAAACAGCTCCCCGTTGGACTCCCAATCCAGAATGACTAAGTAGTGTCTGTGGTGTGGTGATTGACAACGCTAGGGGCAATTATGTGCTTATGCACACATTGCTACCTGATCAAGAAGAGACAGAAGGGAAGATTTAGATTTCCCAACTGCTTGAGTTCACAACAGGGGAATTCAGACAGCCAGAAATCAGGGAGGGAACCACTGGCACCCATAAAGACCGGACTTTCCCCAGTGTCTGCTAACCACTTAGAAGATGGAGCAGAATGGTGTGGCAACGACTGGGGCACGGAAGGCAGATGTTGCTGTCTGATCATGCTCTTTAAATCCACAAGGGTACCACAATGATATTGGATCAAACTGCTCATGTGATCTCAGCCTTCCTCTTCCTCCACCTCTACCATCTTCTCCTCTTCATCAGCTTCCCAGCCAAACTATTACTGTCTGTCACCTGTCACTCTCAACATTCTGCCATCTCCTTAGCAATCAGAACCTCTCATCAGCCTACTTCTTCCTCATCTAGCTATTCCATATGTGGGGTTTACCACAGTAGCTTAGAGACTGAACTGTGTACTAGGCAGTTATTAGTTTAGATCTTACATTCATATAAAATTTCTAGGTTTGGACTTCTTGTTTCTCTGCCAGAGTCCCAATCTGTAATTCAGGAATGAAAATACTGTCCTGTCTTGCAAAGTTTTTGCAGAAGATTACTGACATCAAGTATGTAATGTGCCTTGAACTATCTAAAATGCTTTATAGATGGTCAGTATTAAGTGGTACTGTTCCCCACTACCAGCCCTTTCTGAAGATAGCCATTTGCATGGGATTTAGTTTACTGCTCTTTGGTTAAAAAAATTGATTCAGGGGTATGCCTTGGATGAGCTTTCTGTTGCAATCAATAGAAACATTGCTTAAGATAATTCTTCAAGTGTATGTGTGTCAGAGAGAGAGAGAGAGAGAGAATAAGAATGAATGAGTAACAACTCAGTTGTAGACAAGTAATCTCAAAATACCTGTGACAACTTGTCTTTGTAGAGTGCCCATTTGGCCATGATTGACACCCTGATGATGGCTTACACTGTGGAGATGGTCAGTGTGGAGAAAGTAATTGCATGTGCACAGCAGTATTCGTCCTTCTTTCAAGCCACAGACCTTCCCTATGACATTGAAGATGCTGTCATGTTCTGGATAAACAAAGTAAGAACCTCTGCAAATACACTCTTCATCTGATGTAGGTAATTTGTTTTCCTGAGATGCTTATGCAAATTGTCTACTACTGCATATCTCTCCCTTATATATAATTGAGTAAGACACAGCGTAAGACTCAGCAGAGACAAAATGTGCTCCGTCAGCCATTGGCCGGCCAGCTGCCGCTCAAGGCTGCTGCCATGCCATTGGCTGGGAGGCGAATGCTGCGTGCGCACGGCGCTGTGGCGGTGATGCGCCCCTTCCCACGGTGGCGATGCGCCCCTTGCCACAACCCGGTTTCCCTCCCCCACCCGCCCACCCACGCACCCAGTTGGAGGGCGGCGGCGACAATT